ATTTTACGTATACATACAGTGAGATATCCTATACATGATCAGCTATCACTACATAAAGCTAAAAAAAAGACAAATCTCTCGGCGTTGAACAATTCCTGGGGGATCTGCCATGGATTGGACTTCATTAAGCATCGCTGGAGGTGATTGAATGCATATCTGGCCTATACAATGACTCGCGGTGACCTACCGATGTACCGAACCAATGCTGCTATCCACCCAGATAACTCTGGTACCAATCTGCCGACCTCGGAGGGATGGAGGACTTCGTGAGCCTAGAGAACAAGGGTTTGATCCCACCTGTATTGTACGGCGCCTCCGACCCCTACGCTACAAACTCCCGAACTATCACTACATACAACATGAAATTCCGACTTGCAATCGATATTTTTCACATAGAGCTTTTACTTCTTTTCTACAGTCAATAATTTTACGGCAAACTGTAATATAAAGATGTAGTTGTATAGTTGGCTTCCTCAAAACAAAACTGTGTGTAAATATACTGCTTTTTTATCAAAGTGTTTTCTACATAGTACATCTTATTTAGGACTCTTATTCTCATCGCATTTAACTGATGTCGTAGACGTTGTAGTCAACTCACCTTCCTGTACAATCTGCAATTCCTGCAATTCACACACTATTCACAATCTTCACAACCTAAAAGTTCCCTGATAGGAACTCTCTCTGCAAAGTTCACATCCATTTATAAACAGTTAATAAGCAGCTGTATGCATTTCTTATATATCTTCTCTTTTGAGTATTCGAGTACGAAGAAGGTGCGAACCTGTAACGTTCCCGAAGATACTACTTTGTGGAAGCGCATTTGCGTGCGTCGCACATCCTTTGAGCCTTTGTCGAAGTATCTGAACATCCTCTTCGTTGACAACACTCTTGCTCCCCGCGTAACGAATTCGTACGAAGACCCATTTTTGGAAACATTGAAGAACAGAGAATATACTTTTTCGACCGATACCTGGCACAATATCTGTGATGAAAATGTGATCAATTGAATATATTAAGTGCAGCAGGAACGCTCTGTGCAGTAAAACAAATTTGAGAATTAAATAGGTAAGAATTAACTCATGCCGACCACTCTGCCCATCCTCTCGCATTACCAATTAATTCGTATCAGCATCTAAGAATGAGAGTCGGTGAATTTGGCAATGAACATGGTATTGGAAATATCACTTCCGAAAGTCTCATACCTACTTTAACCCTTTCATGACCATGCGCACTAATTTCAATATGTACGCTGATGTACGTTTCGGATCATACGCATGGACTTCAATGCGGCTTCCCATTATTCTCCACTCTCCGACACTCGGTCCGATGCACCAGTAACCACATGAAAATGACCGCGGTCAGAAAGGATTGGACCTTTTGTATTATAACAACTATTTAGTGCATAGAGCTGATAAAAACTGCCTCTCTTTCAATATTTTCACGTAGATACATTCCTTTTTGATCATATAACACTTTCATGACCTTTTGTGGTCAATCAATGTCTTGTCGAACACAGATTTTCTTTTACCCGGGCTAAGCCATAGGTTGGTATTCCCAACTCGGATACGTTTATGGTCAGTTTACATGAGTTGTGCGGACACCAGCACATTTGCCATTCGTTTCTTTCCCTCGCGACCGTCGTCCATGGTGGTGGTTTTATTCGAGCATGGTAGCGCGTGTGAGTCTCATACGGCGATCTGTAAAACAAATGCAGCCGCGAGTACAGCCGACTAACTTTGGTTACGATCACGTCCGTCCATCGTGTAGATGGCCGTCCTAGGGTACGTCTGCGTTCTCGTGGAGTCCTCTCCATAGTTCTTTTCGTCCATCTGTCGTGTGTTCTTTTCATTATGTGACCGGCCTATTTGCGTTTCCTTATCGATGTACATTCTTCTGAATCTCGAAGATGTGACAGATTTCGAAGACCAGAGTTTCGCATTCTGTCTAGATAATGGGAGTGCCGGTCATATTTCGGAAAACATTCAAGCGGTCTATAGGTAGTGCGGAGTATTCTTGATGTGGCTGAAGTATCAGCCCACGTCTCTGCAGCATAACAGAGCGCTGGGAGCACCGCTGAATCGAAAAGGTGTGCGCGGATTTTCGGGTCCTTGGAGCCGAGAATTCTCAGCTACACAAAGCCTTTCGGACGATGGAATTGAATTGACAGATATAAAAAAACATGAAAAGAACACAGAAATACACTTCGACTATCACATAAAACCATGAGGAAAACTAGTAACACTATGGTTATAGATAATGGACGCTTTCTTTGCATCACACAAGAGGTGTCCAGGAACATAGGAACACACACAAAAAAACATAGCGGATATGCAGATATGGAAAAACTGTGAGAGAACCGAATACTACAACGATAATCTCAAGAAATTAGCCCGCCGTGCCTCTTGCGCAGGCTCACAGACGGTACACCTTGATTTCAATGCGTGTTCCTACTGTGCTCCACTAACACGCGATCTGACGAGGCCCACACGCGAAAATAATTGTGGTCCTGAAAGGACCAACTGAAGTCCTTTTTAATTAATCAGAGGTAGCCGTAAGTAGAATGGAAGTGCCTCCATCAGTTGAAGTTAAGATCGACTACAGCCTACCAAATAGGAAAGATCTTTATAACAAAATTAAACACTATTCAGTGGATTGAAACGCAACCTTTTACCACTTCTCACCAGGCGGAATCCAGAACTGAATTCTTCACAATGGTTGGGGATAACGCTAGAACAATACACAGGATGGATTCGCTTCGGCAGATTTATCACTGATGAAAGTGTGATAAAGGGCTGTGGTTTCTCACTGAAAGAGCATCACACCTACAGAAATACAGCTCGAGCGATTATAGACGACGGAAGCAAACAAAGATATAATAAGCAGCAAATGGAAAATTGTGAGCCTATAAGGCATAATCTTCCAGGATTCCATATGGATTGCCAGAAATGCACAAGAAAAACGTGCAAATGACTAATTCAATATAAGGGAAAACGTTGATTAAACAGTGATTCTGTGCCAATACTTACTTGGATACTTAGATGGCCATCCTCACTAGTTGTGCTGGCCCCAGTAATATTTCCATTTCTCGAAATTTTGTTGGTTTAGCCATTGTTGTTCTGTGAAGTTCCCAGATCATTTTAGCCAGTCTGCCTCCCCAGGTCGTCACCAATACAAGCAGCCGCGGCTAATGTGGATCAGAGGGAGATTTGCCACCATGCGACTAGTTTGATACCAGGACGGGCTGGATCCTGGTATTGATTCACTCTTAGCTTGGCTTCCTTATGGAAACGCGCTGTTCCTGTGCCAATGATATACTAAATCACTACACCGGTTGAAAATACCACTACTGTAAAATGTGTCTGGAAACTAACTGAAATCAACGAGGGGTAATGAACATCAAAGTACTCTCCGCGTCTTTTGGTCTTGGTAAAATTGCTGAGCTATAGAGGATAATAACATAAGGTTACAAGACCACAAAACACCTTACCTGTAGAAGAAATGGAACTCTTTTCAGACTTAACCATAAACACTCTTCGCAGAGAAGGTAACAAGAAGAAAGCTAAACTGTGTTTGTTTGTACTTTCCTTACGAGTCACTTGGAAAGGTTCTTTAACACGCAGTTCCTAGAATTCCTTGTAGAATAACCTATGATACCATGTCATCCAGATCCCCTCTCCTCCTTTTTCGCTCTCATCTCCCTCTCTCTCCTTCTCCCCCGCTTTCTCTTTCCTTCTCTCTCTCTCTCTTTCTCTCCCATAAACCCCTTATACAGATGTAGATGAAACTATCTTGGACAATAGACTGGTGAAAAACTGAATCCTTTGTGCGGTAAAGAGAGAATCTTTGTGTAGGTTAACAATTGATATTTAGATCACTTTCATTAAGCTTTGGTAGGATTAATCAATAACTATCCACATGATTGAGTTGACACGGGATTGGTACAAAAGAAAACTTTTATCCGGCAAACGTTTAAGCGCCTTCGCCTTCACTTAGAGCTTAAAGCCGCGTAGATTCAAATCGATGGTTCCAAGCTGGTCGCTGACGCGACATTAGTGTCCGTAGTCGCATTGAATCGAATCCGGTGGAAGGACCTTCATTCGGCGGTACTGTTTGATACAGGAGAGATATTGATCAATTTTCATTTCATATGATTTGATTTTTGCGGACTATGCGCATTGTAGCAGTCGACACCTCGTTTATATTCGTACCCTAAGAACAAGAAGAGCATGTATCACAGTGGTTAGATATGCTGAACAAAGCACACACATTAGACCCAGGGCTCACCAAGCCTTCAATCCTCTGGAGTCGGTTAAATTGGTACCAGACTTTTCTGGAAGGATAGCAGCACTGGCTCGATACGCCGATAGGGTACCGCGAGTCATTGTAAGGACCAGATATGCATTCAATCACCTCTAATGATGCTTGATGAAGTTGAACGGAAGGCGCTTCACTCAGGGATTGATAACGGCGAGAGTTTCATGCTTTACTTTTTACCCTTGGGACAACAAAGAGAGACCTCTTACAATAGTAATCTACCCACATTTGCATTTAACCACCTCTATGATCCCTGAACTCGAATGCATGGCACACCCCTCAGGGATCAATGGCGCAATCCTTAATACTTTACGTGGGAAATTAATCCCACGATGCCACTATACAAAACATTGAACTTTACGCACTAGATGTTAAGCACTTAAAAGTTTTTACTGAAAAGAGCTTACAAACATAACAACATCGCAGTAAAACAATCCGAAATAGCTCCAAAACGACAATTTTCTGGAATCGTTTCAAGAAAACAATCAGACTTTAGTAATCGATCAGACCAATTTATAACCATGATAAAAGATTCTGAATGCATCGAAAAAGGTGAGAAGTATCAAACAGTTTGACGTAGTTGTTCCTTTACTAACTTCATTAATCAAAACTCCTTATGCCACCAAAACAATAGGACGCGTGAGGACTATAACGGAGGAAAGACAAGCAGAACACGCTTAGTTATCTCAAAGTTCCATATGTGTTGCTTCCTCTTGGTCAGGATCATTGCACGCTGCCGGCGTTCGAAATACGAACCGATACTCACATTTAGCGGGTTCACTTGCCTCAATCAACTCCGAGTCTTCACCGCATTGAATATCCACCTTAATGGGAGCTGATGAGAGAACACAACCCAAACAATAAAGCAGATAGTAGAAATGGATATTAACTGACCTCAGTAGAGCGCTGAGGACCATTCCAACACGCCTGTCCATCCCTATAACTTTGCTTAGAGTATTTTCTAGGCAATTCACCAGACCATTCTCTCCAGTTTCTGCAATAGAGCAAAATCCTTGTACATAACGTTAAGTAGACAAATGAATCGATTTTGAGAAGAAGAAACTACAAAGCAAGTAATGGATAGCGTATTTTGTTTCCTACAAAGGAAGAAAACGACTTTTTGAGGTGGACTTTGGGAATGATAAATGTCATTAATAGTGAAATCATTAAGCAATGCACTGACCCAAGACCAGTTTCTCCGACACCACTTTTCTCTATTTGCACTACCCTCTCAAATGGGCAGAATTTGTAGGTGTACTGCTTCTCGGTACGCTCGAAACATTTCCCTTTGAGTGTAGCCCATGCATAATCAGCGCCAAAATCTTGCTCGGCGAATGACTCAGCTTCACTAGAAGAGAAAACACACGAATTTTCAGATACATCCATACAATTCGACCTTCATAACGAAGGCGAAAGACATATAGATGATAATAAGGTGAAAGAAACATCTCAATGTGGAAGATATGCCTTCACCAGACCACAATTGCAAATTTTGATGAAGGATAAAATAAAGGACAAAGTTCTCGGCGTTGATCAATCCCTGAGGGATGCGCCATGCATTCGACTTCATTAGGCATCGTTAGAGGTGACTGGATGCATATTTGACTTTTTTACAATGGCTCGCGGTAGCCTACTCATGTATCGAGTCAATGCTGCTATCCCTCCCAGGCAAGTCTGGTAGCAACTTGTCGATCTCGGAGGGATGGGGGGCTTGGTGGGCCTGAGGTGCGGGGTTCCATCCGATGTGTATTGCAGGGCGCCTCCGACCACTGCGCTGCAAGCGCAAATTTTCTTAATAATAATAATAATAATCACCGGATTTGATTGTCTAAGGAGTTAATCTTCGATTCCACTTCGTCATACCTTTTACGCTCAGCATCGGCTTCTGAAAAAAGTCAGGAACTGATCAGAACGCAAGGCATAAAAACGGGAGGCATATCACAAATACCCTCAATGGCTTCCAGAGTCTCCCCATCATATGGCGGCATACTGTCCTCATCCGATTCTAAACCGTTTCCGTCACCTTCGTTATTCTCCATCTTTTCTTGATCTTCATCTGAGAGGAAAACTTATGTCACACATACCTATGAATGCTACAGAACACTGAAATCAACAAATGAAGTCATGCGCACCATGAGTAAGATCATTACGACTATCTTTCAGCTCTTGCTCTTTTCTATTCTTTTCATGCTCATGCTTCGTCCCTTTTATCTTTTCATACATTTCTTTAAAGAAAACATCGGCATCAGCGCTGTCGACAGCCATATAAGTCTGAAGGCAGTTCTAATATTATAATGTCCTAATAATAAAACGTGTGATCACACCGAAGGAAACAAAAAGGAGATGTAACTTATAACCGAGAAGGGACAAGCACACAACCTACAATTGAGGTGACCTAAGGAACATATTTCAGTGCTACTAAGACAGAAAGCTTTGGAAAACCTTTTATACCTTAGCTTCTTCTTCGGAAACTGTTCCGTCATTGTTGTCGTCAAGATATCCCAAATTTTTGATTTCATCCAAAGTTATCCTATTAGAGAAAACAATGTTTACCTCCTTCAAAATATAAGTATGCTTCTAATCACACATCAGTAAAAAGAACATGCAAAATAAGTACTGTCAGTTAGGATACCTTTGGTTACCATCGACATCAATTTCCTGGAACAGTGCCCTTGAGTCCTCCATCTTTTTCATCTTATTCTTTTCTGAATAGACTTCATTTTACAGAATTAATGAGTATACAACAGATTTAACACTTGAAGTCCAACGCATAGATCTATATGGCTCCCGCACAAATTCTCCGGCGGTTAATTTTTCATCCCAACTGCTGCGAGTTGATATTCACTCATACCGGCCAAATCGCCGAATGGTAAATGATATTGTCCATTTTGTTGTACTCTTCGTTTTAATCTTCTATTTTCGATGATTTTTTCCAATTACATTCTTCTACGTCTTTTTATAGCAATGCCGGTATTTTTTGTTCTCTACGTATCCCCTATATCCTCTTCTTTATTCTCTCATGCTTTCGCAACAGTTCGATCTTATGTGTAATAAATATGTGTCTTATGCAATAAAAAAAATTGTCCGTCATACAACTACAATGTTGGCAGCATTTGGTAGTAGTTAGTGGTTTTCAGAACACATGTGAACCACATGTCGGTATTTTTTATACCCACTCCTTCCACGTAGTATTGGAGAGTTGAAAAATTAACAAATTTATGCAAGAAATTATTTCAACTATAGCCTCAGCTTAACTTGGTTCATTGCCGATTTGGCCTCCCCAGATCAATCCTGTTGGCGGGTGAGTGCTGACTGAACTGGTAGATAGAAAACCAGCTGAGAGACAGACGAAACGAAGGACCCGCATGATGTGATGGTGAACGCGTTAGCCCCGGAAAGGTAAACAACGCGTTCGCTCCCTAACACAGACATCTGTGGTCCAAAACTTTGCAAATGTTTCGCCATCATTATGGCTATACACAAGAAACTTTCCACTCTCGGTTTGAAGGTACGAATAACTTCTCCGAAGTGTCACCTCATTACCTGTCATTCGAAATGCAACTCTTCAAAAAGCTAGAAAATCATTTTGATCTTTCATAGTCTTAAAAGCCAGCGTGGTAGAAAAGAAAGCAGTACCCTGCTGGACGAAATTTCACCTAATCAATCGCTTCGCTGTCCTAAATACCAGCTTCGATGAAGAAATAACTGTGTCCCGGACAATCGAGATCTCCTCTTGGTGGAATAAGATTTGTACAGTGCTTGCAAAGACTTCTGTATGCTATGTTTCCACTTCAATGAAAAAGTTCACTGAGGACTGAGATATCTCTACACCTTATTTCATTAATAAGCTGACAGTAGATTGTTAGCAAACATTTCTTCGGCTAACGTTTCGACGTCTTCGTCTTCTTCAGGTCCGATGATCCGAGTCGATGTACACAGTCGTTCTCTTCTCGATGTGGCGTTTTCCTCACTGTACCGGGTATAGATGAAGCATAGTAGTGTAGCGAGATATTTTTGTTTAAATGAAACGCTAACTTGTTCCGCGTAGGTAGGAAAAGCCGCAGACAATCCTTTTGGGAGTAATAACTGAGAAAAAGGAATAAACAGTGTTACGAAAACGACACTTGGAAACAGACACTGTGTAGGATCACTGATTAACGCCTAGGTTTTCCATAAACAATAGTTTTGGTGACGCCACATATAACCCTGTACCACAATTCAATTACATAAGTAACTTCAATTATTTTCCATCCTATTGCTACAATAATAAGATGTCCTTAAGCGCCAAGTTTAGCGTTTATTTACAACAGACACACACCACTTCAAAAGTCTGGCCTATACTCTTAAGTCCACAGCGTAGCTTTTCCGATACAACGACCTTCATTGAATAAGCTCTTGGTTGGAAATAAAAAGTACAACGAAAGAAACTTCTTCATGAAAGAAGAATGACCACGAAAGAAAACGCGTTGCTACCAACTTAAGCCGGCCAAAATGTCCCGTCGCCTTGGAAATTGGCTAGTTCCGGAGTCTAAGTGTTAGTTAGAATGGGTGGGTTTTCCATAAATTTCAATTGAAGAAGAAGTTGTATAACTCACCTAACCATGCTTCTCTATGCTTGTCCTTAAGTGTAGTCTCTTTTTCTACAGCCATATTCTTCATTTGCAGCAGTTCCTCTTTCTTCAACAGAAGCTGTGCCTTCTCCTCCTTAAGTGGAACGACTCCTTGCAGTTTTTCTTCCTGCAGGCATTTTAATTTCGTCCCTTAGCTTAAGAGCAAAACCTTTAGCGTTTAAAAATGTTCCTTTTCCCACATACCCTTAGCTTCTGCCCTTCAGCGGCTAAAATTTTTCTTGCAACATATCCTTTCCTTTCGATTTCCATCTGTTTGCGCTTCTGTTCTCGAGCACTATTACCCAGTTCATCGCAAATGTTAGGACACTCAACGGATCCGCTGTACTCATCGCTTCCATCACAACAATCTGAAAGAATTCTAAGATAATTAAGGTATTTCGGAATAAATATATTCACCTAGGACTAGTTGCCTCGTTTAACTCAACACACCACAGATTTTGTCGTTCACTCGAGACGACGGGATGTCGGCAGAAGTATGGCCTTTGTTGGCGCAATGAAACTTCCCGTTTGGGCAGGCAGAGGTTCCTGTAGAGTTCTTTGAGCTGTTGACCTCTTTTGTTCAAAAAGAGAGAGCAAACCAACCAGGTTCGTCGCTGCCGTCGGGACAGTCACAATAGTCATCATTCACATGATCGTACTTTATGCTCTTCGAGCCATCAAAACAGACGAATTCGGATGATTTTTTGTACAGCGGTCCTCCTATAAGAATACTTCTTCCCAAACCAACTATCTTCCAATATTTCGTCTCTATCTATCTTCATAAATAGTAATAAAAGCAAGTATGAAACCAACTATTATAAGGAACTCCTCTTGGCAGTGGTTCGATATCTGGCTCTCGTGCTACCACAAAAACGACGAGTAAAAGCAAATAAGCGCTTGTTTTTAGCATTCGTCCTGGAAAAAACATCTACAATGCACATATTTGACATAATCATGGGCAAAATAGTTACGAATTACTAGGAACGCTATGAAACAACGTCTGTCATGACTTCTACAAAAATATGAAGTAATCAGTAACAGAGAACTGAGCACCACTTGTACACAGGCAGACGGATCTCTCAAATTCATACCCTATCAGTATTAGAAATAAAAACAGTAGTGATGGAGAGAGCAAACTGAAGCTTCTTCCTTCTTCTGAATAATAAACAAAGTATCTCCCAACGATTTACCGCCTCATCGTGGCTGAGATGCGTGCATGCGTGTCAGACTGCGATGTACAGAGTGGGATTCATACCCCAACAAGGTATACCGGGCTGAGAAGTAGTCCCGTGTTTCCATCAGGAAGCCCAGCTAAGAATAAATGGATATCACGATCCATTGCCGTTCTGGTATCAAACTAGTCTAATGGTGACAAATCTTCCTCTGATTCACAAGAGCGGCGCTGTCTGTGGTGGTGACGACGTGAGGAAGACTATGACCTGGCTGACCTCGGGACCCCAGCGAACCACAATAGCTAAACCAGCAAAACTCGGAGAAAATGGAAATTATGGTGGGGACCGCACAACTAATGAGGACGGGCCATCCAAGTATTGAAGTAAGTTGTATCCCATTTCTTTAATCAGATTCGAAACAAATGAGTAATATGAGAATCCGATTTCATCTGAAAGGAAGAGCAACTAAAAACAACAACTGGATTGCATTCTGGTCCATGTGTGCTACAATATTTTGAGTTTTTACTGGATTTTAAGTGAAATTTTGCGCCATTTACTGATGGGATCAAAAGCGGCTAAATTTTGTTAAACGTCGGTGGATTTTATGCCCAAAGAGGAAGATCTCAAATACTTAAATGTACCTTTTGCTAACTTGTATCCTCTAAATCCTCAGATCATCCTCATCTACGCCAGAAAATTTACCCATAGCATTCTGTTCTTGTCATAAACCGAGCTCACGTACGCACGATCCAAATAATAGGGCTTTTCATAGAAACAATACAACCTCAGTTGAATCGATTTATAATCAGAAATAGCAGTCGCCCTTATACACAATGTTTTTAAGTCAAAAGAATTTTATGGAAGCAAACTAACAAGTGAAGAAACCTATAATTTTGAACGGCCAACGCTTCTTCATACATATGTTTGCCGTGCTATAATCGCGATTTTCTGACCGAAAAAGAATGTCCAGAAGAAGGAGACGTGTTCAACCAATATGAATTGTGCAGCGTTCCCATAGGAGCGATAATTGTCCTGGAAAGCTTAAAAATCTGATATCTTAAGAAGCTAGTAGACAGATCTACTCAGAAACTGAAAGTGCTGGTTAGCGAGAAGACCGCCTTCCTTGTGGACAATATCGATCGACCATGGTCGAATACTATTCGTTGGATACAACTGTATGGTATGGGAGTATTGTCCCATCTGTTATGGAATCCTTCTTCGAACGCGAGAGCGGTGTTCTTCCCGTATTCGATCCAGGGAACCAATCACGCACACCGTGACGTGTGCTAGTCGGCCACGCCTGTTGCGCCTTTGCAGACGTCATGCTTCGAACGGCTTCATTCCAAACTTGTTGCTGTTGCCCAGGAATGTTCTAAATGATGAGCTACGTGGTTCCGATTGATCTACCTCACTGAGTAGTTCGGCGATAAGTGCCGATCGATTTCGACTCTTTGTTTCCCCGGCTGCTGTAGTTCTGTGTCTTTTTTCCAGGGCATGAACCTACTAGGATATTTCTCAGTACTATTTGCCTCGACGCTTTTCGAGTCCATCGAATGTGGACGGGACTTCTACAAAATTCTCGGTGTTCGTAGGAACGCGAACCTAAACGAAATCAAGAAGGCCTATCGAGCACTGGCAAAGGTTTGTCCTTTCTTTAAATTTCATGTTTCTCTTGCACTTTAAATATCAGAAACTTCTGAAATCAGGAGAAATATAAAGGATTCAGGAACTGCACCCTGACAAGCATCCTGATGATGAGCTGGCACATGAGAAGTTCCAAGACCTTGGCGCTGCTTATGAGGTGTGTACTCTGCAATTTTGATATGTTTCTGGATTACTAACGTGATGAAATCCCGAAGGAGATCTCTCCTTTCCACTGGATCGTATTCTGGCATGCGTTATTAGCGAAATGCTTGACTATGAAGAACACGAGATAGGGACTTTGGTTCAGGTGCTCTCGGACAAAGAAAAACGTGCTGCATATGACCGTCATGGCGAGGAAGGAGTTAGAAAAATGATGGGAAACGGTGGTGGTCATGACCCGTTCTCTTCATTTTTCGGTGATTTTTTCGGTGGAGGGCACGAAGCTGGAGAAGAGCAAAAACCTAGAGTGCGTCTTCGTAAAGTTTATGTCGTTTTCGGCAGTTTACCTGTTTGATTCAAACACCTTAAGTTTCTGCATAACTTGCTTGAGCCGTTCCAGATTTCATTTGTTCGTCTTTCTTTTCGCTGCTTTGTTCCAAAAAGGTGAAATGTTGCAGGGTGCAGATGTTGTTTTTGACTTGTTCGTTACATTAGAGGAAGTCTACATCGGGCACTTCGTGGAGGTTAAGAGGAAAAAAGCTGTTTATAAACAAACATCAGGGACAAGAAAGTGTAACTGTAGACATGAAATGCGAACTGAGCAAGTTGGTATGGGTCGTTTCCAAATGTACCAGGTTAGTTAATTTGGGTTTCTTTGTATTTAGAGGAAAGATTTACTTACTTAACTTGGGGAAGAACTTAGAAAGGATATGTGGTTGAGAATATTTCTTTTTTTTTGAGTTCAGTAATGTAGGGAAATCGTTCGTAGCGGTGTCCTAGCACTCTTTATTTCCTACCATGGTGGTGCTACGCATAACTTTCAAACTGCTTGCATCACTTTGGCGGGGTATTTTTAGGTCCAAGTTTGTGACGAATGTCCTAATGTGAAGCTTGTTCAAGAGTCACGAATCCTTGAGGTAATCCTGAGGCATCTCACCTAATTACGATTGGTTCTTCATCTTTTTTAAACTTTCAGATAGAAGTGGAAGTTGGTGCAAACGACGGCCACGAGCAAGTGTTTGTTGGTGAAGGAGAACCTCATATTGAAGGAGATCCTGGAGATCTGAAAATCCGGATTAACGTTCAGAAGCATTCAAGGTTATTTCTATATCTGCTTATACTATATGCATCATTATTAGAGGATTTGGCGAAGACCATTTGTTAGTTTTTTGCAGAGGTTTTATACCTCTTTCGCCCTCCTGCAGTATTATTCCATTTGTCCTAGCATTTTAACACTACTTTATTATTTCCCATATGGTACAGGAGCACGTGTAGCGCAGTGGTCAGAGGAACTCTGCAATACACATGGGACCGATCCCCGCGCTCCAAGCTCATCAAGCCTTCTATCCCCCCGGACTTGGCAAATTGATATCAGACTTGTCTGGGAGGATAGCAGCACTGGCTCGATACATCGGTAGGGCACCCATGAGAATTGTAAAGGCCAGATATGCATTCAGTCACCTCCAACGATGCTTAATGAAGTCGAATGCATAGCGTATCCTCAGGAATTGATCTACGTCGAGAGCTTTATCCTTTATTTTTTATTATGGTTTACTTCGGCACTCTATGTTACCGTATCAGATTTGAACGACAAGGCGACGATCTCTACACAAATGTCACGATTTCGTTACAAGACGCTTTGAATGGCTTTAAAATGGAGATTGAACATCTTGACGGTCATAAAGTCCATATAGAACGTGAAAAAGTACGTGGTTTTGTGCCGGTTTGCTTAAGTGCGAATTACTGCACTTCTTTCTCTTTAATCTAACTGTTCAGAAACATTTCATTTGTTGTTTAAGATAACATGGCCCGGAGCTCGAATGCGGAAGAAAGACGAGGGCATGCCGTCGATGACAAATAACAATCAACGTGGTGACCTCTATATCACATTCGATGTTGAATTCCCCCGAACGGAGTTGTCTGAAGAACAAAAGAAAATTGTTTCGGATTTATTGAAGCAGGAAAATGTTAAACCTAAGGTTTATAATGGTTTACAGGGTTATTAACTGTGAAAGTGGACCTTTATAATAATAGCTTTCTATGTCCGCTCTCGTAACGATGACTTCTCTCAACAGTGCGAAATGGTTGTACGAGTACTACTCAGTAGCCAGAGTTTTAATTGGAGGCATATATCTATTGATTGATTGTGTCCCTAAGTTATCTGTTACTTTTTCTTTGTTAAATAGCGCGGGTTTCTCGTATCTAGTGGCAGTTCCCATAAACTAACGATATAGCCACGTTTATTTCTTGTTTTCTAGCGTTTCTGTCTTTCTTTTCGAGTTTTTCACCTGCAAATCTGACACAGTTGGTTTTTTTCGTGTTATCTTTCTTTTGAAATTGTGCAAACCTGGCGCTAAGCTCAACCATGGTTAGGTTAGTTCTTACGAGGTTTTCTTCAGTTCAGCGCATGGATTTACGCCTTCACGTAATTTAGAAATAGGCGATGCTTAAGGCTTAATGGGTGGCCTTTGATATTTGAGCATATCAGTAAAGACGAATTGATAAGGTCACTGAAAAGAAAAGGGGACAGAAATGCCTTAACATACGGTAAGTGTACAATAAGCCATTCTGTCGTGAGTGGTACCTACCTCTCGATCTCGGCATTTGTGGACTTGCCTTTGTTAATTTGATTGATGTCTCGAGGAAGAAGTATAAATAAAGTTATTTGATTAATTGAGACAGTAAAGTAGTACGGCATCCTGTCCGTTGGTCCTGTTTCGGAGACTTTTTCTGTTAATTGGCGTCTACATTATTTAAAGCATGCGGAGACAATCCACCGAACAGTTTACCGCTTCATCGTGGCGTGGAGGTGTTCCTGTCGAGTGCGATGTGCTTCGAGCATATTCGTCCTCCCGGCAGGGTCTTCCAAGCTGAGAAAGAGTCCGGCTTTTCCGTCAGGAAGCCCAGCTGAGAGTAAACCACTGCCCGGATCCACCATTGTCATGGTATCGGACAAGTGCTATTGTGGCAAATCACCCTCTTATCCACAAGGGTGGCGTCTGCCTGTGGTACTGATGACCTGGAGCACACCTTAGCTAGGTTGACCTCGGAATTCGTGCGAAACACAATAGCTGAACTATGAAAACTCGGAAAAATGGAGATTGTCCTGGAGCCGCCCAACCAGTGAGGAAGGGCCGTCAAAGTATCCAAGTATGAGTGGATCCGTACTCACGTGGTCTCTGCGACTAGTGAGTGTGTGCGACATATTAGGGGATGTTTTGTTTCTGGTGAAGTCAGCGAATGGTGTGGAGAAGTAGGACGCTTACATTGTAGGATTAGCACAACTTAAGTGTTTCAGATTGACTGCATGACTTGTAATGTCATCATCTTGCGCTCATATGCCGAGTGCAGCCGGTGAGAAGAAACGGTTAAGGAGCTGGTATGCAGTGATCGCCGACAAATGTGCATTCCCGAGGACCGACACATATGCTGTTACTGCAGTACGCGTTTTGCAGTCCTGAATTATCCAGATAGTTACGTTTTCCTAAAAGACAGGGGTTTAATATGGCAGTGGATTGGCTTTATGCTAGGTAGTATATCAACGGTGCCATTATTTGAAAGCATTACGTACAGTGTAGTCACTTTTTAATTACTGCCTACTCTTTTTATGGCAGGGTATGATGTGAAATAAGCAGAGTGAGGCTGAGATATTTGCAAAACTCTGGATCGCTGGTGTCTTCTATGTGGAGCGAATCCCCTATTGCGCTTTCAATGAAGCTAACGTGTTCATCACCACATCATGAGGGTCCTTCGTTTCGACTTACTCTCAGCCGTGCTTAATAGCTGCTATCAGCAATGACCCGTCAGTGGGGTTGGTCGAGAAATCACAAATGACAGTGAAGGTGAACCCATTTAAGCTGAAGCTATAGCATAAATCACAGTGTAGTCACTTTTTATCTACTGCCTATTTTTTTATGGCAGGATATAGAAAAAATAACATGTAAAATGTGAAGGGTGAAGCTCTCGGCGTTGATCAATACCTGTGGGATGCGACATGCACCGGACTTCATCAAGCATCGTTGGAGATGATTGAATCCATATCTGGCCTTTACAATGACTCGCGATGACCTACCGATGTATCGAGCCAGTGCTGCTATCCTTCCACAGAAGTCTCGTACCAATTTTCAGTCCCGGAGAGATGGAGGGCTTGGTGGCATAGGGCGCGGGGATCGATCCCATGTGTATTGCAGGGCTCCTCAAACCACTGCTCTACATGGCAGGTTGTTATGTGAAATGACTACTCATCACTATTGATCATAGCAAAACTATTGGCTCAAATTTTGTTACCTTTTCTCCCAGTCTGTTAGTCGTGTTTGGGGCACCTGTTTCGTAACGGATGTGCTTGATCCCATGGAATGACTTTTCTAGTGCTGTCCATCCTCTTCTTCAAGTTTTGTAAAGCAGTTGGGCTCCATTTTTGGATCTGCAGCCAGAATCGTTGTTGAATTACCGTGGTCCTTTACTCATCATTGTACACCAAACTCCGGAGAAGAGATTATGAGATCCACTTTCTAAACGATCCTTCACTGTAGGGTTTGTTGATGTTGATCCCGTGCGTGTTGTATTGTTACCGCACTATGGAAAGGGCTTTTGTCGCCTGCGATACTGGTTCATTATGAAAGCCTCAGTATTAAGGCAACTTTAGGACTTTTCTCGTCGTGGATTTTTTTTCATATGTCACTACCTAAGAATGCCAGATTTTTATACCGTGGCGGTCGTTATATATACTGTGTTCCAGTGCATTTCGTAAAGAGATGGAAAAATGGCCATTTGACTGATATGAAGACTTTGAGACAGATTACGTATTCTTTGAGGGAAAGAGCATCCAGTTGTGAAGGCTCATGTGTAACATCCCAAACTCGGTAAATGTTGCAATAGTGTCATTTTGCTGAAGTTCCGCTCAAGTTACTCTTGTACTCTTCCAGGTAAGCCAACGTGACTCACTAAGGTCGTGGATTCATTGAATACCATGACGTACTATTACGAATTGTACTTCTTGTGTTGGAATGAACTTTTTTCCGACCGTTTACATATTCCTAGGTCGTTACAAATAAAATACCATCTAGTTTCCAGCTGGGGCGTGTGTGGCGCAGTGATCGGAGGAGTCCTGCAAGACGCACGGGATCGATCCTGAGCCCCAGGCCCACCAAGCCCTTCATCTCTCTGGGGTCTGCAAATTGTTACTGGACCTATCTGGGATGATAGCGGCACCGGCTTGAGATATCAGTAGGCTACCGCTGGTCATTGTAAGAGCCCGATATGCATTCAATTACGTCTAACGATGCTTAGTGAAGTCGAACGCTTGGCGCACCCCACAGGGATTGATCAACGCCGAGAGTTTTATTCTTTTTCTTTATTCTGGATTCTACTAAAAGTGGTCTAAATTCAAAATCACTGGCGTCACTTTTTGTCAAGACTTTATTTTGAGCTGTAACTGTAACGTATCATGTCTACAGTCGGATGTTGGTCTACCAGACACTTGAATTCTTGAAACTCCTGAAAACATCGCCGTAGTCGACAAAAAATGTGGAGTTAAAGATTGAGCAGCTTGTTGTAGAACCGAGAGTAATCTAACAGAGCAGAACAAATGCGAAGAAAGAAAAATACAATTGCGTGTGACCTCGTGTTTTTGGTTTGGAATTTCTGGTTTATACTCTGTAGGCAACTATGGGAGCGACGCATTGCTCAGAGTGCCCTCCCGAGAAACGGATGTCGCGACTGGCTCTTCAGATGTGCTGCTCACGATGCAGTTCTTTTCTTTGTCTAAGCCATATGAAGAAACATCTTCGGGAAAACGCACACGAATTTGGTAACATTGTAGGTGTCAATCTTATTCTTTGTAGAAAACAAAATCTGCTTTTAGCCATGTCGATTGAAACGGGTTTTGTATATTGTGCTTGCTGCTCAGATTTCGTTTACAATCGTGTTCTAGAAGTCATGCGGCTCGGAGCAATGAATAAGTATAGGTGAGTCGATGAGGTGTTAAATTATTGCATAGACATTGGTAATCTACCGATGTTTCGTCTTATAATTTATTCCTCCCAGTGGTTTACCGCCTCGTTTTGGCTATGAGGTGTTCCTGGGTGTTGGCCTGCGATATACAGCAGGAGGATTCATCCTCCCGGCTAATTATCCCCAGCTGGGAAAGAGTCTGGCGTCTCCATCAGGAAGCCCAGCTAAAAGTAAATTAATACTAGGATCCACCACCGTCCTGGTATAAAATTAGTTGCTTGGTGGCAAATCTTCCTCTGATCCACAAGGGCGGCGACTGCTTGTGGTGGTGACGGCCTGGGGCATACTTTCGCCAGCTGACCTCAGGCCTCCAGGGATCCACAATAGCTAAACCAGGAAATCTCCGGAGAATGGAAGTTATGATCTTGATGCCTATTTATTCACTTTTATTCTGTTCTTTTATAATCACTGTTTAAACAGAAGTTTTTAGAACAAGGTTAGGATTATGTAAGTTGGTATCGTGGAACCCAACTGATGCTGATATTAAGGCCTGGGATATGATGACCAGAATAGGAAAACATGCCCGTAAGTTGGTGTTTAAGAGTCACTTAGGGGTTCTCTTTTTCACGAAGGAATGGTGTTGTTTATCTGGTGGGGCCATAGAAACGCTGTTCTTTCAGAGTTACGTGGTCTTCTAAATATGGGTTCAACCTGCTATATGAATAGTGTGCTACAGGCTCTTGTGCATACTCCCGTTTTAAGAGATTATTTTCTTTCGGATCAACACAGTTGTCAACGATCTCCTGGCACATGTCTCATGTGCACCATGCATCAGCTAATGCAGGTAATTTCCCAAAAAAAAAATCTGGTTTACCTTATTTGATTCTTTTGTGACAAGTCTACCTCCATGTTCTATCGGAAGCCTGTGTCAATTTTTTGACAGGATTTCCACCGTGGCGACTCTTCTGATCCTGTTGCGCCGTCAGATGTCCTACATATTGTGTGGGAACAGTCTCAGATGTCCATGGGTGGTCAGCAAGATGCCCACGAGTTTTTCCTGGCTGTACACGATCTACTTCATCGTCACTATAGTGGTGAGAATACAAAATGCGATTTTATTTTGATATTCAGCCAACTTAATCCTTATGATGGAGGCACATATATGCTTGGATCATATTGCATTATAAAAACTGGAGTTCACACAGAATTGGTTTTTAAGTTTCCTCCGTCTACAGTTTATCACCTTATTATCGCTGAGTAGTGTTTCTGTTGTAGTACGTTGTACAGTGCTGAGAGGTATTTGGAAGCAAAGTAAGGGTAAACTTGTCTTTCATCGTGGATGGGAAGTGTTTCTGGGTGTCGGGCTCCTGTGTACAGCAAAAGGATTCATCCTACTGGAAGGGTTTCCCAAGCTGAAGAGTTCGGCGTTTCCATCACGATGCGCAGCTAATAGTAAATCAATAATAGGATCCGTCACTATCCTGCTACCAAACTAGTTGCGTGGTGGAAACCTCTTTCTGATCTACAACCTGTGGTGGTAACGACATGGGCCAGATTATGGCTAGGCTGATCTCGGGACTGCAGAGAACTACAATGACTAAACAAGCAAAACTCCAAAAAGAATTGATATTATGCTGGGGTCCGCACAATCAGTGAGGACGGTCCATCCAACTATCCAAGTACGCTAATCAGCTCCTTGCGTTTTGTGCAATTAAATGTAATTAAAAGTTTTACATGTGCCATATCTTTTGGTTGTGGAAGAGGGCTTCTTAATCCACGTAATAAACAAGTACGATTTCTGATTTATAGCAAAAGGTACAGTCATATTAATCACAGGTGTTTTACTTTTCTACAGCCTCTTCTCCTTCGTCGTCGGTGACGGAAACTGATGCGTGTAAGTGTATCGTTCACCAGACTTTCACAGGAAAACTCCGTTCGGATATAATATGCAGTGAATGCTCGTAAGTTTACTTGCCTTGTAAGTTTGCAATATCTATACATATACATTTATACGCATATATTTATTTATCTCCAGATCTGTATCATCATCGACTCAGCCGTTCCTTGATGTATCGTTAATTGTGCCACCCAGCCCACCAGGCTGTCAAAGTAGTATCAAAACTTGTTTGGAAATGTAGGATAATTTTCACATGTAGAGCATGCCACCAATGTTTAGCAGCACAACGTATCAGTATTTAAGACTTATCGGCATGTTATTGTAGGTTTTGCGCAAGAGAAGACTTGGACCGGAACTGTGAGCGTTGTGGATGTTTGAGAGCTACGCGGCGGATGAGTTTCAAGTGAGTCCAGTGTTTTAGCAATGAAGAGCGAACAAGCTCGCGGGGGAAATCGTGCATTTTAATTTCTTACCGAACTAATAAATTGCCTAAGATTTCACTGACATTGCAATACCTTAATTTGAACCGAGGACACATGAAAGGAAACCTAAAATATAAAGTACTGTTTGCACATCAAATGAGTCCCATACGGCTCATGTGGTCCACGTTTCCATTAGGGAGTGGTCGACCTCTTCTGTTGTACTTTTCTATAATTACCACGACCGACTTTCTATTAACCTCGGCATTGATCAAGTGATTTTCATCGTATTTTTGTTGAGCAAACGCGAGGTGTTACTATTCTTTGTTCACGATTAAGCTGACGTTTCGGCGGATTTCGCCTTCTTCAGAGCCTGGAAAGGTCAAGTTGATAGCAACTCACTCGGCCAGACGCCTCCATAACCAAACAAAGAAACTCCAAACCAAGATTTCAATCACCTTAAACACAGCTTTGCACACTCACTGCTTTCTATGAGGTTTCCACTAAGTATGTCACGTAGAGACCAACCGCACAGAAATCACGTGGAAGTATAATGTGCCCCTTACATCAGAAAAGCAGTTTTATATACTGCCCTGTATCACGCGTGATAATGAGGCATTCTTCCCTGCGGTTCATTTTCGGATTTCTGGAATTAATCCAGAGTGCCTCGAGAGTTTTTCGCGCCTGTGTTCTTGATTCGCGTGCGAGGATCGTGACACATACTTCGAAGTCGTCCCCGTTATGTCTCTGGGTCCTATGCGTGCCTAGCGGGGTATTTGGTCTATTTTTGCCGGCTAGGTGTTCTTTTCTATAATTAATTTTCTCGGGATGCGAATGGATAGGGTGGTAGTGCCGACCATCACGAGGATGGTGTTGGTTCAACCCCGCATCACGCTCATAGCTTCTATTCACTTCGGAGTCAGCAGATTCGTTCCAGACATGTCCGGAACAATCCCTTAGTTGTGTGAATACCTGGGTGGTCCGTTTTCACGGGTTGTGAGGGTTCTAGCCTATTTTCCATCTTTTCGGAGTTTTTCTGGCTTAGCCATTGTGGTTTCCTGGACCTCCGAGGTCACCCTGGCCTAAGTCTGCCCCACCCAGGTCGTCAGCACCACAGGCATTCCCCACCCTTGCGGATTTGAGGGAGAGTTGCCACCATGCGACTTTGGTACCAGGACGATGGTGGATTCTAGCATTTGTTTACTGTAAACTAGGCTTCCTGATGGAAACGTCACACTTCTCAGCTTGGGAGTCCTGGCCGAGAGGGAATACCCTTGCTGGGAGTGAATTCCCTGTTGTACATCGAAGCCCGACACCTGGGAATACCTACCAGCCACGAATGAGGCGGTAAACCGTTGGGAGCGAGGTAGCCTCATTCTCTCTCTAATCCAAGTCGGAGCACTGTATCCTGGCCATCGCGGAACTCTTGATCCGGAATCGATTCAACCAGCATCCAACGACATTCGTAAAGAAGACAACAATCCTCAAGCCGCTGCCGAGGACCTGCACACAAAAAAATTCGAGGACCTTTGTGGATGATGCAAGGAAAAGAATCGACTGCGAGAACTGCTGGTATTTAGTTACAGTTGATATGGAGACATGTCGTGCAAAATAAGTAGAATGAAAAAATAATGTCTTTATTCTCTTCTCTTTTCTGCATATTTGCTGTGGTGTTTTGTGTACCATTCAATCTTTTCGAACATCTGTTTTGAATTTAATGGAAAGCTTGTTGACCGTCTAACCACAGTGCTACTGGCATTTCTTAGTTGGCTTCGCAAAATATATAGTGTATTTCAGTTACAGACATATCAGTCACTTTTTCTTATCTTTCTGAACAAAGCTCACACCAATTTGAGCTCTCCGGATTGATGACCAATATGTTTTTCAGGGTACCTCTTACCACTGTGCTACAAACACTTTGGAATTTGCAAAGCAAATTGCTGGTCGAAAATTGGTGTTCCGCGCATGAATCGTATCGAATGATGATAAATTGAGCTTCATTTTCGATTTATTACCTATCGAGGGCGAAAAAAGAGAAGCTCATGACTATGAAGACAATATTGAGCTTTACATCGAGCTGATATCTGAGAAAAGTGACTCAGAGGATCAGGGCGAAGGTGACGATAATGTAAACAATGAGCGGTCAAACAGTGTAGTGCTTCGTGGCTGTTTGATATTCGCTAACAGTCAGTGTGGTGTTTTCAGCTGCTTCTGCTTTATGAACAGAAGCGATACATTTCTAAGAATTATTTCTGACTCGTGTTTGAAATTTGATTGTGAAATACACGAACACATAACAACAAAAGCGGGATCATTCGTGAGCAAAAGGTGGATAAGGGTTCATCATTGTTTCCAAATGGCAATGTTGAACTGCCATGATTCATGGATCACTGAAGTTCCATTCTAGATTTTAGAAGACATTCTATTGTATCTGAAGTTGTGCTAAGAACCAGATTTGAAAAACTGTTGGCTTACCACCATTTGGCCATCAGTGTAACTTATCCTATAGTGCGTTCATGCTTCCTTTATCTTTGCGAAGTTTATGAAGAATTTGCGGATGCCTCTGCTGCCTTCTGCAAGTGAACCAGTTCTGTTGTTGCGCTTTCTGTTTTACGGTATCTGATTTTTACTGCTGCTAATGTAATGTTAGTTGACATCTTGCAAAATCTCTATTCATATCGTAGGAGAGTTGTGTAGAGAACAGTATTAATAGTATTGTAAACGTCATCCTTTCAGTATTTACGGTACTGCGACACTTCAAATTTTCAGGGTTCTTCCATCTGTGATCGTGTTTCATCTCAAGCGCTTCAATCCATCGGCAAGTGGGAAGAATAGTACTGTTGTATGGTAGGTTTTCATGATTTAATTGACTTTAACCCACGTAATCATTAATTCATTCGCAACGTGATATTGATTTTGATGTATTAGGCGCTGAAATTATCCGAGATATAGTAGTAAAATTCACTAATTGGATTAAATAAGAACCAGGATTCCTTTGAGCAGGAGACGGGTTATGTGCGCTTGTCTCACTTGCATTTGAAAGTTTAGTTCTAATTTAGTTTTCCGCTTCTTGAGAGATTTGGTCCTGCGCGGCCCTGAAAGGAAATTCTACAAAAATTATATGCACTTATGCAATGCAGCAAAGCCTTATCTATAACTTTTTGGTGTTCTCGACACTTACTTGCTGTAATTATCGAGAACCTACCGACGGTTTACTATCTCATTGCGACTGCGAAGTGTTCCTGGCTGTCGGGCTGCGATGCACATGGGGGGGGG